ATAGAACTCGAGCCAAGAAAGTGCAAACGATAGAAGTCCTTACGCTCGAAACGCAGTATCGAGATCGCGATAAATTTTTCCGGGTGGTAGACGCCGGCGAGGGTGGCGGGCGTATCTTCTTTCAGAAAATTGTACGGCCGCTCGTAAAGATAAGTACTTAATTCCCTGTTTTGCAGGAAATTGTTTTTCTCCGCAAAGGAGTCCATTTCGCTTTATGAATCGCTCAACCGACTTTACGCGACGAGCTTAAAGCTTAACACCACCGCGAAAAGCTGTCTCTCTCTCTCTCTCTCTTCCTTTCCACCTCTCTGTCCTTATCCCTGCCTCTCTTTTTTTTTTTCTTTTTTTTTATTACTATTTTTCACGCTTCTTTATAGATTATCAAGTTGTATAATCGCCTTCTCTAATTATTATCTTTTGTATTACAGCCATCGTAAACTTGAAATAACGTTACCCGTCAAACCGCTCCAAGCAATCATCGTAAATTACAAATAGCTGTATTATGCTTTCGTTGATCGCGTACGGTTCTAAGAAACATTTAGTATCGTATATCACGTGGAACGATGGTAGGTAGGTAGGTAGGTAGGTAGGTAGGTAGGTAGGTAGGTAGATAGGTAGATAGGTAGGTAGGTAGATAGGTAGGTAGGTGAAAGTGGAGTCGAAGAACGTATCCTTCTTCTTTCACCGACCGAATATCTTAATATTTATATAAAAGCTCGAGAAGAATACGACGGTGATATTATTATTATTACGAGAAACGAAAATATAATGGAAAACTCGTCGAATACGTTTTTGATCCGTATTTTCGTCCACTGGGTAATAATAACGATGGTTGGCAAGAATCGACGAAAGAGGGAAGGAAAGAAGGATTCCTTAATGAAGAATAGCGTGGAGTTTTTTCGTAAGAAAAAACTTTGGAGAATATTTCTACGCGCGCAGGTTATTTCCCGCAAGGTTTTGAAATGCTTCCCCGTAAAACCGGCAATCAGTCAGTGACTAATGCTACAAGACCACGGTAGAAAGGCTTCGGTTCTTTGACGCGAGTACGCATAGAAATAAAGTGTCGATGGAAACGATGCTTGGCGTTGCACCGAGACATTAATAGCCTTTAGACACGGAGTATTTTATTGCCGGTAACCTTTCAGTACGTGCAATCCACCAGTTCTGCAGCGTTGGCAACCGTTACCGTCCGAAGGTCCACAGTTCCTTACAGGCAAACGTCGGACGATGCATACTTAATGAGCGACTCAATACCATGCTTTCTTAATGCATGTCGATTCGAGTAATTAATTATTATGCCTGACACACGTGAAATAAGTGTTTGACGTCGGTATAAAATTCATCTAAATCACTCACGATTGATTTCTACGAGTCACGCATTACCAATGATACTACGTCATTTTAGATTTACCACTCTCGGTGTATATATCGAAATTAAATGTTTACTCGATTATTAACCGTACGCCACTTTTCCTACGTATTTATCTATCGTTAAATCGCTTCGAATATCCATCTATTACCCGCGATGAAATCTTCGTAATTAGGCATAATTGCATACCTACCTTTTTTCTCTTCGCGAACCTATTTTTTCCTCTTCCTCCTGTCATTTTGCTCCTTTTTCTTTTTTCCTCTTTAATCATTCACGCGCGCGTAAGTAGCGTTGTTCGCGCGATTTACGAATTTATGGAGGGCGTAGTAATAGACTATTAGATCGATGGAAAAGATTCATCCACGTTTCGTTCGATCAAAGAGAGGTATCCCCTAGTAATTGGACGTTAACGAATAAAGATAATACGTGTAATAATATATACGATACGCGCGAGGTTAATTTTTAATTAAAACCAGCCTTTGCATCTCGTTAATATATATATATATTTATATACACACGGTATTATCGTTTTGCATCGTTCGTAACGTATTCCACGTGACTTATATCGTCTTATATCGTACACGCTCTATTAATTCTTAAAGGACGGTAAGATAGTTTGTCTCGTATTACACGATTCGTAATGATATACCCACTTGTCCGATACGTGTTAAAAGCGGTAATTCATTTTCACCGTGCTCTTTTTCTCTCGAAAATCTTCATCAAGCACGCCAACTTTCTCGTATATATATATATATATATATATATATATATATATA